ATATGGTGGTTTTGGGACGTTAAACCCCACAAATCTAATCTATATGGTATAATGTGATGTGATCGCTTCAATGAAGGCTTCAATTGTTGTCTGGATGTGACCGCGATCCACCGCAATAGGCTTGTGGTTATGGCACTTTGGCTGCTGACGCGAAGGTCGTGGGATTGAATCCCAGTCGTATGTTCGATGGAGGTGAACAATCTTGAGGCCCGTGTGCTCAGATTTGGGTGCACTTTCAAGAACCTCAGGTAGTCGAAATTTCTGGAGCCCTCCGCTAGGGCGTCTCTCGTGATCACACCGTGGTTTCGGGACGTCAAAACCCCATAATAATTATCATCACGGATGTGAAAGCGTGACCATCGTAGTTACATGCAGCGATTGAAGTGTTGCACTGGTAAACTCGTGGACGAAGGTCCGATTCCCTGCACGGATGAAAAAAAAAAAAAGAAACAACCAACTGAGAGACAGCCTGACGATAGTTATAGCACGAGAACAAAACGACGATAGAGACAAGAAGGACACGAAGGACACGGGCGCTCGTGTCCTTCGTGTCCTTCTTGTCTCTAAGCCGTCGTTTTGTTCTCGCGCTGTAACTATCGTCATGCCATACCAACTAGCCCAAGCTGCCACACTCCTATGGGAGAGAGCATTGGGTAATGCGATGGAAGGAAAAAAACAAGTCAGGAACGCCCGCGCAAAGCAACGCTCGCCCCCATTTACAGAATCGTGCAAGGGCTAACTAACTTTCTTAATAATCAACCGATAACTAGTTAAAAAATAAAGATTTAGCCGTGTGATTTGTGCTCCGTTGCCAAAAATGGCAAATGGAGGTTGTGCGCTGCTAACGCCGAACGCCATCAAAGGAAAACCCTTTCACTTACGTAAATCGAAATTCATCCTAGTTTCGTCTCTGTTTAAAAGAAGACCGCTGAAAGATAAGGTATCCCGTCGCCAAGAGATCACTATGGCTTTCAAAGGAAAACCCCTTTCCTTGACGTCATTTCATATTCGTCCTAGTACTGTCCCTGTCGGAAAGTAGACTGCAATGCGACGTCATTGCGACGTCATTGCCTAAATATAGCTTTCGAAGCACGCAGAGTGTGTAGAAATTGATGTGGTTGTTATCTGCACGCTGAGTACGAAAGGGCCATCACCGAGATTATGTTCACGAACTCTTTGGTGAAGAGAAATGCAGCACTAAGGTCGTCGAATCATGTCACATTTGTACACTCAAGACTGTTACAAACTGTTGTAGACGTGAAGTTATTGACACATGCAGGCGTAAATTCACACATCTAAGGTCGATAGACTGCACAAACAAGTTTTAAATAGAACAAATACAGATAGATAGATAGATAGATAGATAGATAGATAGATAGATAGATAGATAGATAGACAGACAGACAGACAGACAGACAGACAGACAGACAGACAGACAGACAGACAGACAGACAGACAGACAGACAGGCAGACAGACAGACAGACAGACAGATAGATAGATAGATAGATAGATACATAGATAGATAGATAGGTAGATAGATAGATAGATAGATAGATAGATGATAGATAGATAGACAGATAGATAGATAGATGATAGATAGATAGACAGATAGATAGATATATATATATATAGATAGATAGATAGATAGATAGATAGATAGATAGATAGATAGATGATAGATAGATAGATAGATAGATAGATAGATAGATAGAATGATAGATAGATAAGGCTGGGTTGTGAAGGTGTCCGGTATAATTAGCTAATTCTCTTTGCTGTTCACATAAAAGTGTTTTGAAGGGAGCTCGTTGTAACAATGCATCTAAAGAACAATTATAATTTGCACACTGGCAAATCCTCGTGCGCTCCTTGGAGTCCGTACGTGATTTAGCGTCGTGTTTGAGATCGGTCTCAACTGTTGGCTCACTGTTAAATGGTGTGTTGGATTGATTGTGGCATGAATCTACAATGTTGACCAGCTTTGATACAGTTAACCATTTGCTGTATATGTAGTAGCAGGAGCAGGCGATACTTCGCGTATAAAAGACAGTCTTCTGGCAAAAAAAAAAATATTTTTTTTGATCACTTGCTTACTTGGTCCGGCAGTTCCTTTTCCTTGTGAATATACACTTTTCAACTGTCTTGCTGGTCATGTTTAATGAGTGTCAATAATGAGTGTTGCAGTTGGGGGGGGGGGGGGCACGTTCTTAATCTAAAGTGGAAGCTGGCGGGCCCATTGTCAATTTGTACTCTGTATGCACGGCGAAAAAATATTTCGGGCGGGGGGCGGAGTGTTACCCCCCATGGCTGCACTACTGGTGCTAACTGAGCGTACCGCAAACCAGGCACACTTCTAACTGGCGTAAGCGATCGGGCCGAAAATTTCCCCGTTAGTCGACCGCAAGTGTTGCGTTCTTTTATTAGCTCTCGAAACAGACTGCCAATAAACCCATTTTGTTATTTCTTTTCTTTTAACTTGAAGTACAAGGCTCACGCAGACTTTAGTAACGCGCGTGACTAAAATAGCTCCGCGGTTTTCCCCCGACGCGCGCGCTGTCCGTATAACGTTACTTCGCTAACCGTAAGGTTAACCTGCTTCGCTGCGTGGTAATAGAAGAAATCGCTGACGTCACGGACGTGCCCGAAAGAATTTTCCGTGCGTTGCGAGTTGCAAACGTATATGATGACGCTTATTCTGCGTGGTTGATTGTACACGGCTTGGCGAAAACGAACGCTTGCGCATTTCTCGTATATTAGAAGATTTTGTTACGCTGTCACGATGATGACGCAGCTCCGGATTAGCTGTTCTCGTCTGTAGTGAGGCCCCAAGAAGCGTATACACAGGCGACGTAAATAGGATGGCGTGATCAGACGACACACCGCGTGACATATTGATTGATTTGTGGGGTTTAACGTCCCAAAACCACCATATGAATATGAGAGACGCCGTAGTGGAGGGCTCCGGAAATTTTGACCACCTGGGGTTCTTTAACGTGCACCCGAATCTGAGCACACGGGCCTACGACATTTCCGCCTCCATCGGAAATGCAGCCGCCGCAGCCGGGATACGAACCCGCGACCTGCGGGTCAGCAGCCGAGTACCTTAGCCACTACACCACCGCGGCGGGGCGCCGTGTGACATATTACCGCTGTAATCCAAGTTAGAGGTACACATTTAGTTACGCGAGTATACATGACGGCGTTTGCTATTGGATGTGCCACAGTCGGGAAGAATGTGAGAGGGAACACCGAGTGTGTGTTTAATCAACTAATACTTTTAATTTACCAACGTGAATGTGTCGTACTGAATTTAGGAAAAAAACACTTTCCCACTTGAACATTTAGCGCTAATAGGGAGTTTTTGAATAGCGTACGCTTTTCGTCGCAGTCGCTACCACTGCTCGTGCGTACTAACTATAACCGTCGTTAGATTTTGCGGTCCGCCCACAAAAGATCTGAAATAGCGTGCGGCACACAAGGCCCGCAAAGCCACTTTGCGTTGAGTGAGCGTGCTGCGAACGCGCGTCAGCGTCTTGCTGGGCCAAACGCTATCCGAAAAATCATGTGGCACCCATACGCAAACGCTACGCCCACAACGCCTTCTAACTTAGCGTACGCTATTCAAAAACTCAATATTAACATCCTTGCGTTCCCCAACTGCGTTTAGCCGCTATGGCCTTCAAGACGTCATAGCAGTGTTCTCTCTCATGTCGGTCGTGGCTGTACAAATGCATAAATAAGCATTGGATTGGATAAACTTTTATTTGGTCCTCCAAAACACAGATCACTGTGTTGCGGGCAGCTCCCACGTGGGGACTGAGATGCCAAGCTCCTCAGCCGCCTCGCGGGCTTGGTGGACAGCCCAGAGCTGATCTGCCAAGGACGAGCTGCGGATTGCCGCCTCCCATCTGGCAGAGGTGATGTGCGATAAATGAGCGAATTTGGTGCACTGCCAGAGCATGTGTTCTAATGAAGCTATTTCCCCACAATGTGGACAAAGATTACTTGGGTATAGGTCAGGGTACATGATGTGTAACATTTTCAAAGTAGGGTACATCCGCGTTTGCAAAAGCCTTAATGTAAGTGCTTGGGGCCGGGTTAGATTTTTGTGAGGTGGAGGGAAAATCCTTCTAGACAGGTAGAAATGTTTAGTGAGCATGTGTCAGATAAAATACACTGCGCACCACTTGAACATCCCCATTTGCCTTCATTCAGTATAACTATCCAAGAAGTCTCAGTGTTCTTAATGCGAAAGGCAAAGCTACTCGTTCTTCACGGCCCACCCTGGACCGAGCTGCGATACACGTGATAACCCCACGACGCGACGTCATGTTATTTGACATCCTGCGAGCGTTGTGGCCACGTCGAAAATTTTTGGTGATATGTGACATTGTCATGGCGTTATTGTGATCACGAGATACATTTTTTTTCCAATGAAACGAATGATAAAGTTGAAGTTTCGCATTCCAGAACCACGATATGATTGTGAGAGATTCCACAGTGAAGAGAAGCGGAAACTTCGACCACCTAACGGTCCAATACCAGCATGCCTCCGTCAAAATGCGGTCGCCGTGGACGGGATTCGACCCCGAGACCTTCGGGCTAACGGACAAGTCCCATAACCAGAAGACCACCACAGCGGGGGATACGTTTTTGTACCGATCGTGTTGACGCCACCAACGGCCACTTTTCGCGTTTCTTGAAGCATTTAATGCCGGCAGAACCAGCGCGAACACAACGGAGACACAGGACGAAAAAGACACAGTACGAGCGCTCGTCGGGCGTCCTTCTCGTCTTGTGTCCCCTGTAAAGCGTTCACGCTGGCTTCTCAGTATTGCATCATTTCCAGCTCACGACCCTCTCTCTAGCTTACTGTGATTATGCTTTCACGTTTACATTAAGACAAGGACCTGTGGTATTTTTTTTTTTTTTACAGAAGAGGGTGCGTATTAGCGTGTTGCTGTGCCATCGAATGAAAGCAGTTCACTCTTCTCTGGCGCAGGTGCCTACAGCTGTCCATCGACCCGAACAACGGTTCCGTACGCATTCTGCGGGACAGGAGGGCCTCCACACCGTCGACTGAGTCAGTCAGGGAGTTCAGGGGTGAGTGACGTTTACACGGTCCGCCATCCACACACCTGCCGTCTCCGACACTGCCTACCCCCCCCCCCCCTTACAGCGCACATGTCACGGTGTGCATGACCCCGTGCATTGTGTAACATTGGCGCCAGTGGCGGATCCAGAGGGAGGGCCCCCGATCGCCCCCCCCCCTTCCAAAGCCTGTGTCAGCACCTCCACTCCCTTCAGTGCCTGACGTCCACCTCCTATCACCAAATGGGACAAATTAATGGGACCACTCTGAGCGCACATTAAAAGTACTTGTGCTGTTAAGGGGTTTTTGTGCTATAGTAAAAAGTCGTTACCCCGCCCGTCTTCTCCAGTGTGGCTGTATGCACACCTGATTTGCGCAGAGTAACATACTGTTCTCCTTATAAAGTGTCGAATAGAGTCCGGTATTCATGAAAGAGTATTCAGCAGTCTTCGTAAGTGTCGTTGCTGCGCCACTGTGGTCCAGTGTGCACATGCCGTCGTGTATGACTCAGTGCGCCAGATCGGGGGGTGCATAACCAACGGTCCGCTGGGCACACACCTGTCGTATCCGCCGCCACAGCACCACCCTTTCGGCACACACACACGTCAGCGCACGCTTGGTTCCCCCATACATGAGCACTGCGTAACATTCGCGAATCGAGTGAACCCCAGATTAGTTGGGTGCAGCGTTTTGTTGACGAAAATCTGTGAACAATGATTACGATCATGACGATGAATGCAGGAATACGCCAGTTGTGTGCACGATGAAATAGTAACAATATTCTTCAAAACCATCTGCTAATATATATTGCCGAGTAGCTTGTTTCTTTGTTGTTCCTTTGTTTGGCAAGATCGTGTGAATACAAGAGACAGCAAGCCCATGAAAAGCATAAGGAACATTACTTATCATTTTTTTTACTGTCAGGTGGTAATTATCACTTTAAAAGAGATGACTTAATCTACACAATAAATCGCTGTTTTCCTCGGTGGTATCCCAACCCTACAACCCTTCTAACCCTTGTCGCTACTAGTATAGCCGTCGTCGCCTATAGCTAACGCGATCCCTCAAAGCCCTGCCATGTTTTGGCAGACCGGTCTTGTAACGGATGCACAGAACTCTGGGAGCCTACTCAGACGCGCGCTGTTTACGCACCAGAGGACACCCTTTCTCGTTACGAATTTTCCCTCCTCACTCGAATATGCAAGGAGGACGGAACGGGGTTTGCGTGACAGGGACGCGTTCGTTTTGATCTCGCCCGCTCGCCGTCGCGGCACCAACCAAGCGTGGAACGACGAGTACTCTGTTGCTTGTAAAGGAAGGTGACCAAGGAGTGGATCTGCGAGCTTTCCACGCGCGCACACAATCAGCAGCAGCGAGTTGGCAACAAACGAATCTTCCTGCACGGCTTAAACACTGGAACGCTGGAGAATGGGAACAGTTAGGGATATGAGTTAATGGAGAGTACCTTAGTGACCTGCGCTTCGCCGATGACATTGCATTGCTGAGCAACTCAGGGGACGAATTGCAACTCATGATTACGGAGCAGCAGCAGCGAGTTGGCAACAAACGAATCTTCCTGCACGGCTACTTAAACACTGGAACACTGGAGAATGGGAACGATTATAGGGATAATAGTTAATGGAGAGTGCCTTAGTGACCTGCGCTTCGCCGTTGACATTGCATTGCTGAGCAACTCAGGGGACGAATTGCAACTCATGATTACGGAGCAGCAGCAGCGAGTTGGCAACAAACGAATCTTCCTGCACGGCTTAAACACTTGAAACACTGGAGAATGGGAACGGTTATAGGGATAAGAGTTAATGGAGAGTCCCTTAGTGACCTGCGCTTCGCCGATGACATTGCATTGCTGAGCAACTCAGGGGACGAATTGCAACTCACGATTACGGAGTTAGACAAGGAGAGCAGAAAGGTGGGTCTCAAAATCAATCTGCAGAAAACGGAAAGTAAACACTACGCGTCGACACCACCTTAATCGGGTAACAAGTAATCTTATCGAAGTGTTAGTTAAGGGTGGAACGTTGGGAAAATGATTTAGAATGGGACAGAACGCGGAACCGACAATGTACTGATGGAGGACGTTGCTATTCGCCACGGTTTCTTTTAAGCTGCTGTCCCGAAATACGCGGGTTTGATTCCAGGAGCGGCCGTCGATGGAGGCGAAATTTTTGAGACACGTGTATACTGTATGACGTCCGCAAACGTTGAAGAACACCGGGTAGTCGCAATTTCTGTCATCTTCTATATTATCAGCGTGCCCCGTAAAATCGTGATTTTGGCACCCAAGAATTACATCTTCTTATAGTTAAAGAAAGAGAACGCCGCTGTAGTTAGCCAGTATACCATAGATTAAATAAAATTCCTCCACGAGCCAGAGAGAAACGCCAGAACTTCGTAACTCAAGATGAAGGCTGTTTCGTTATAGTAAATTTCTGTTAACATTGCGATTCGGCCACCACGGCTGGGATTAGACTACTTTCGAGCCCACGGTAGACAACGTACTTCTTGCGAAGAACTGTTTTGGGGACGAAGCTCCTTATGCCGTGGGTCGTGCGTCCCGATGCATGTGGTAGTAGTAGTAGTAGTAGTAGTAGTAGTAGTAGTAGTAGTAGTAGTAGTAGTAGTAGTAGTAGTAGTAGTAGTAGGTGGCCAAGTCTCGCTTAGTCCTTGGAATGTCCGCTGGATAGCGGTACGTGTATTTGATCAATATATGATAAAAAGATGCGAGATGGCAGTGCTTGGAGGGTTTAGTAGAGAGACGGACGGACGGATGGACAGACGGACGCACTGGCAGACACACGGAGGTACGGATGGACAGACGGATGGACGGCCGCATGTATGGTCACACGGACGGACTGACAAAGGTTTAGCCCCACTCATCATTCACTCCGTGGATATGCAGTTTTTTTGTTTTTTTTCACACAAACAAAACACGGAGGGGCGCCTCCTTTCCGACTGTTGTAAAAAAATAAAGAAGTGCGGAAAGTTGGTTATGATGAAGTACTAGCTAGTTCGAACCCACACGTTGTTAACCAACATGCAGTCGAGTACCATATTCACTATAGGCCACCGTGGTGAATGCTTCGCTTAATAAATAGTCAGCGTGATCAACTTCAAGCGGCACCGCGACCGCCTGAACTGGATCGCTTCCTGCAGCCGGCTTCCTGTTCGAGGACGTGGGCGAACAGGCATGACGCACGCGAGGGGCATTTCAGACGTTTTCGGCGCGTTGCGTGCGTCGACGCTCGTGTGGCGTCGTCGTTTTTTTGGGAGGGGGTTTGGAAAGTGGCTCGACGAGGATGCCCCCGCCGACTGTTTGGTCGTATATACACGCCCGGCGCGACCTTCTCCTCTCAACTTCACCTACGCTCTACTACCATTACGCATGCATCGCGGACAGCAATGTCGCGAAGCTCGTTCCCATTGCTCGTAAAGGGTTTTCCTTGGAGGGTGCAACACCAGCGTTGCATCGAGGTTGGGGAGGGGAAAATCACTTGTGTAGGTTGAGTGAGGGCAAGTGCTTAGTGAGGCCTGCCAGGGGGGCAAGTGCCCCTTTCGCAGCCCTCCCTGACGGTACGCCCATGGTACCAGGCGCAGAGCCTACCGGGGTTTCGCGTTTTTCGGCTTCACGTTGTTATCTCCGCGCTAGGGCAGTCGGAAGTCATCGAAAACGAAGCGAAACCAGTTACCCGGACTCCTTCGTGGACGAGTGTGAGCAGGGGTATAATAGACGGCGAGCGGTGTATATAGATGCCACAGGGTGGAATCGAAACTGGGCAGAAGTTCAGGAGAAGGAGGAGGGCTGAAGAAATGAAAATTTCTTGAACACGGAGTGTTGCGGCAGCGATTGTTTCGACGAGCGGTATTGTCCTCTTCGAGGGTGCGATTGCCGAGCCACCTTAGCCCACTTGTTGCCATCACAAGGAATCGAGAAAACTAGCATCAGACAGCGGTGGAAGTATATAGCATATACCTCCCGCGCGCTCAATCTTGCGAGCACATAAGCGTCGACAAGTCTGCAGGAATGGTGGGCAATACTTCGGCTATAAGACAGATAAAGCACTGCAAAATAATGATATTTATATGTAGGGTTTAACGTCCCAAAACCACCGTACGATTATGAGAGACGCCGTAGTGGAGGGCTCCGGAAATGTCGACCACCTGAGGGTTCTTTAACGTGCACCCAAATCTGAGCACACGGGCCGACAACATTTCCGCCTCCATCTTGGAAATGCAGCCGCCGCAGCAGCGATTCGATCCCGCAACCTGCGGGTCAGCAGTCGAGTAGCTTAGCCAATAGACCACCGTGACGGGGCAAGCATTGCAAAATAGAGCTACAATAGAGAGAGAGAGGAGAGAGGGAGAGGAGAGAGGGAGAAGATAAGACATCTAGAAATATAGATAGATAGATAGATAGATAGATAGATAGATAGATAGATAGATAGATAGATAGATAGATAGATAGATAGATAGAATAAAATAAAGAGAATGTCAGGGTATACAGTTAAACATGTGATTCAATACTGACAGCGCCATATGAATGACGTTCTGAGCGAGAAGGGTACCCCGCCGAAGTGGCTCTTCGTCATCGCGACTGCACGAGTACACGGCGGCCGGGCGCGTGCAAGGAGACATGCAAATGATTGCAGAGCCTTTACCGGGCTGTCAAAATGGCGACGATGCGTTCGCACACGCTTGGTATGTTTTTTTTAATTCGTCCCGCTGTGATGTACGGATACGCGCGCACGATTCCATGCGCATCAAAGTGCCGTCGTCGTTGATCGTGAGTCACGCCAGGGACTTCCCGCGAGACTCAGGTCTGACTATCACTCGTGCAGAGTATGCGAAGCCGTCCGATATTGTCCAGACGAGGCCTGCCGCAGGTATACCGCACTGTCGAAAAGCATCGGTATTGTGTGACAGCTGGCGTAAAGAAATTTGAAACGAAGGAAAGAGTTTAACAAGCGATGAGGTAAGGCTCGGACGTCCCTTC